TTCTATGATTTCTTTCCTTCTTCTAACTTTGGGGTTTTTTGTTCATCTTTCTCTAACTGCTTTAGGTGTAAGGTTAGGTTGTTTATTTGAGATTTTTCTTGTTTCTTGAGGTAGGATTGTATTGCTGTAAACTTCCCTCTTAGGACTGCTTTTGCTGCATCCCATAGGTTTTGGGTCATCATGTTTTCATTGTCATTTGTTTCTAGGTATTTTTTGATTTTTTCTTTAATTTCTTCAGTGATCTCTTGGTTATTTAGTAGTATATTGTTTCGCCTCCATGTGTTTGTGTTTTTTACGTTTTTTTCCCTGTAATTCATTTCTAATCTCATAGAGCTGTGGTCGGAAAAGATACCTGATATATTTCAATTTTCTTAAATTTACTGAGGCTTGATTTGTGACCCAAGATGTGATCTATCCTGGAGAATGTTCCATGAGCACTTGAGCAGAAACTGTATTCTGTTGTTTTTGGATGGAATGTCCTATAAATATCAATTAAGTCCATCTTGTTTAATGTATCATTTAAAGCTTGTGTTTCCTTATTTATTTTCATTTTGGATGATCTGTTCACTGGTGAAGTGGGGTGTTAGAGTTCCCTACTATAATTGTGTTACTGGTGATTTCCCGTTTTATGGCTGTTAGCATTTGCCTTATGCATTGAGGTGGTCCTATGTTGGGTGCATAAATATTTACAATTGTTATATTTTCTTCTTGGATTGATCTCTTGATCATTATGTAGTGTCCTTTTTTGTCTCTTGTAATAGTCTTTATTTTAAAGTCTATTTTATCTGATATGAGAATTGCTACCCCAGCTTTCTTTTGATTTCCATTTGCATGGAATATCTTTTTCCATCCCCTCACTTTCTGTCTGTATGTGTCCCTACAGACTTCCGTCTGAAGTGGGTGTCTTGTAGACAGCATATATACGGGTCTTGTTTTTGTATCCATTCACCCAGTCTATGTCAGTGGGTCTCTTGTAGATAGCACATATACGGGTCTTGTTTTTTTATATATTCACCCAGTCTATGTCTTTTGGTTGGAGCATCTAATCCATTAACATTTAAGGTAGTTATCGATATATATGTTCCTATTACGATTTTCTTAATTGTTTTGGGTTTGTTATTGTAGGTCTTTTCCTTCTATTGAAGTTCCTGCTTAGAGAAGTTTAGCATTTGTTGTAAAGCTGGTTTGGTGGTGCTGAATTCTCTTAGTTTTTGCTAGTCTGTAAAGGTTTTAATTTCTCTGTTGAATCTGAATGAGATCCTTGCTGGGTAGAGTAATCTTGGTTGTAGGTTTTTCCCTGTCATCACTTTAAATATGTCCTGCCACTCCCTTCTGGCTTGCATAGTTTCTACTGAAAGATCAGCTGTTAACCTTATGGGGATTCCCTTGTTATGTTATTTGTTGCTTTTCCCTTGCTGCTTTTAATATTTTTTCTTTGTATTTAATTTTTGATAGTTTGATTAATATGTGTCTTGGCATGTTTCTCCTTGGATTTATCCTGTATGGAACTCTCTGTGCCTCCTGGACTTGATTAACTCTTTCCTTTCCCATATTAGGCAAGTTTTCAGTTATAAGCTCTTTAAATTTTTTCTCAGTCCCTTTCTTTTTCTCTTCTTCTTCTGGGACCCCTATAATTCGAATGTTGGTGCATTTAATGTTGTCCCAGAGGTCTCTGAGACTGTCCTCAATTCTTTTCATTCTTTCTTCTTTATTCTGCTCTGTGGTAGTTACTTCCACTATTTTATCTTCCAGATCACTTATCCGTTCTGCCTCAGTTATTCTGTTATTGATTCCTTCAGATAAATTTTAATTTCATTTATTGTGCTGTTCATCATTGTTTGTTTGCTCTTTAGTTCTTCTAGGTCCTTGTTAAACGTTTCTTGTATTTTCTCCATTCTATCTTCAAGATTTTGGATCATCTTTACCATCATTACTCTGAATTCTTTTTCAGGTAGACTGCCTATTTCCTCTTCATTTGTTTGGTCTGTTGGGTTTTTACTTTGCTCCTTCATCTGCTGTGTGTTTCTCTGTCTTCTCACTTTGCTTAACTTACTGTGTTTGGGGTCTCCTTTTCCCAGGCTGCAGGTTCATAGTTCCCATTGTGTTTGGTGTCTGCCCCCAGTGGCTAAGGTTGGTTCAGTGGGTTGTGTAGGCTTCCTGGTGGAGGGGACTGGTGCCTGTGTTCTGGTGGATGAGGCTGGATCTTGTCTTTCTGGTGGGCAGGACCACATCCAGTGGTGTGTTTTGGGGTGTCTGTAGCCTTCTTATGATTTTAGGCAGCCTCTCTGCTAATGCGTGGGGTTGTGCTCCTGTCTTCCTAGTTGTCTGGCATAAGGCGTCCAGCACTGTAGCTTGCTGCTTGTTGAGTGGAGCTGGGTGTTGGCGTTGAGATGGAGATCTGTGGGAGAGCTTTCGCCATTTGATATTATGTGGGTCCGAGAGGTCTCTGGTGAACCAGTGTCCTGAACTCAGCTCTCCCATCTCAGAGGCTCAGGCCTGACACCCAGACGGAGCACCAAGACCCTGTCAGCCCCACGGCTTTTTTTCTTTTCCTATGTGCTCAGTCTAGTTCCACTTGCTCATAGAGGGCCACGTTCAGAGGCCTCCCCCCTGCACTTCAGACCAGACTTTCTCATGGGAAATGGTGACAATGACACCTCAGCTCGAGGGCAATAGTTGTGACTCTTCTTCTCAGTCCAGTTTCATGTGCTTATAGGGGGTCGTGTGCAGAGGCTTTGTGCCTAACGCGTCAGATCACAGATTCCATGGCAGACTTCTGCACAACACCTCATTCAAGATGACAGCATGTTCTTTACCACTATTCTACACTCCTCTCAGAAATGTCTAGTTGGTATCTTCTTATATACAGTTAAAATCTGTTTACTCAGCTTATATCTGTCATTTGTCTTTTAATGTTGTTCATTATATTTTGTTACACAACATTTTTTAAGAAAAATGTTTATTCAAATAATATGAACACATTCTTGATATGCAAGAGTCAAACAACACGGAAGTATAGATAACAACTGTGCTCTATCCCCTTTGCTCTCCTGCCTCAGAGGTAACTGTACCCAGGCTTAAGGGCATCCCTTTAGTTCCCTTCAGATGCTCCACATACATTTAACAGTCACACAGAGTTTTTCCTCGGTTTTGCAAAATGGACCATACTGTAGGATTGCTTGTGAAAGGTTGTTTTTGGGCTTTGTTTGTTTGTTTGGTTTGTTTTGTTTTAACTTAACAGCATTTTCTAGATATCATTCCAGCTAATATAAAAAAGTCTCTTTCATAGTATAGACTCACCACTTTATTTAACTACTCTCCTTAATGAACATCTAGGTTTCTCCCAGAGGAAAAAAAATTTTTTTCAAGTTGCTACAACTCTAAATTCTTTAAAGTTCTGTCTTTGGTGCCATGCTAAGAATTTCTCCACCTCAGTATTATAAAGAACATTTAATCTTAGTATTTTTACAGTTTTCCATATGTATGTTATAACTGGCCAACTTTAAAAATTCTCTTCTTAGGTTTGCTAGTTTTCAGTTCGTTCTTTTGGGTTCTCTAGGGTAACAATCATGTTTCTGCACAGAATGATAATTTGCTTTTTCTTTTTTAATATTTATGTCTCTCAGTCCTTTTCTTGTTTTTGTTTTTCTCCCCATTAGCTAGACCTAGAACACCTATTTTATTTTATTTTTTTTAATATTTATTTTATTTATTTGGCTGCTCCAGGTCTTAGTTGCAGCCTGCAGGATCTTTGCTGCAGCATGTGCGCTCTAGTTGCCTGACCAGGGATCAAACCTGGTCCCCTTGCACTGGGAGTGTGGAGTCTAAGCCACTGGACCGCCAGGGAAGCCCTTAGAACTTAAAAAGCTTGTTTCCAACTTCAATTCCCAACTAAATATTGGGGGAAGTAAAGAAAGGTGTTGAGTTAGTTTAATAGTAACTGTCAAGTTGGAGAAAAGGAAACAGTAGATTGAAAGCTTCTTTCAAAACTAATCCTTTAACTCAACCAATGTGGCCACAGTGTATTTTGTGGGGTCATACTGGGCTTGGACTGAGGAACTGGCTTATACAAGAGGGAAATTTGCTACATATAAGGGGATTCAGCAAATAAGTAAATCTATTGAGGATAATGAGAGCCAGGCTTCTCATGGAGAAGGGAGTTATATACAGAGAAAGGGGAAAGGCTAGAATAAATTCCATGATACTAGATTAGAACAGGAAGTATTGGTGTGAACTCATGGGTTTTAATACATATTATAATATATATAAATCTTGAAATAAATATGTTTGCACACTTATGTTATGTAAATATGTGGGTGTGAATATATACACATACATATATTGCCTGGCTTGGCCACTGAGAGACTCAAAACGCAACAACACCCCAGTATCAGTGAGCACACCAGTGTCTAGATCTGCGCTTCTAAATTCTCCATTGAAAGGAACCAGATCTAAAACTTCTCTCCAGGAGCTTTCCTCCCTGTGGTTATAGAATCACAGGCTCAGAGGATGTCTAAGTCTGCTCACTCACTTTACAGATGGGCACGCTGAAACCCTAACTTTTCTATTCTTTTCTTTCAGTATTGGCTTTCTTAAAATGACAGGAGGAAAACAATCATCTAATATCAACATAAAGTATCTCACAATGGCTTTCTGAAGACGAGTGGTGGAAACTATATTTCTTTCTCTCTTTCTTACTAGGAAAACCAAGGCCTAAAGACGCTCTGCCTGTATTAGGAAAAGAACTGAGTTCTCATGTTCCGACTTAGAAGGTGGAGGCCACTTGGTTGCACAGCTGAAGGCTGTGTATTATTAGCTCTTTTCATGATAAGCCAGCTTTTCTTTCTGAGTTACCAAGTAGATGCCTCCTGCAGCCTGTTGGTATAAGATTTCTACACAATAGATACCAGGTGTGTTGGCTGGCTAACTGCCCATGGCCCCAGATTCCTGACCTGCTGGGAAAGCATTCCTCTACTTGAAAAGGCAAGACAGCTACTTACATTTTTAATGATCAGTGGGTATCTCGTTACCCGTTGCATAGGCTTCAGTATAAAACTAGAGAGTGGCATTCCCTTACAGCGAGGGTCCATGGCCAGTCTCTGCAATAAGAGATTTTTTTAAATGTACTTAAGAAGTTTGCAAAATCTGGTCAGTGACATCAACATCGATGTTATTCAGGACTCCCCACCCGTCACATTGTCTCATTTATCTGAATGACAGCTGAGGAATCGGAGCTGGAAGAGCCGGGCTGGTTATCCCCAAGCCAGGAGGAGGCACGTTCCAGATGGAGAGTGGGAATATACCTTGGACGTGACTCAGCTGCAGGGTTGACCCCTGCTCCCCAGATCCAGTGGACCTTCCATGGGACATGTGGTTCCTTACTTCCAGAGATGAGATTCTGGCTTTACAGAGAATATTTCCTCTGGATACCTACCAAAACTTTATAACATTCCCAGGAGCAAGGAGAGTCACAAGACTGTAGGGTCAGAACAAAAATCCCCCTTAAGTGCCAGAGATGCTGGAAGGGCCTGGCCGGATCTCACTGTCTGTTTTGGGTGACACCTGCACTTGCCGGTGGGAGCCCCAGAAGGGTAGGGATGGTGAAGCCAAGACATGAGGGTCAGGACCCCAGTCCCAGGGGCTGTGGTTATCTCCACTCTGGACTCCCTGCCTCTTTCCTTCCACCACTTTTGTCAACTTGACTGGAGGACAAGAGTCCTTTTACCTCCAAAAGGTGACCCTGTCTACAAGTCACAGGGGTTATATGGTGACAGCTCTCAAAGGTTCTGGTCAGGTTTAATGTCTTAGGAACAGGTTTAATGCCATGACCTGGACCCCAAGCCCTGGGACCTGTCAGTGCCTGAACCTGCTCCATCCGTGGACACCATTATTCCAGGAACACTTTGCAGCAGGCAAAGGCATGTCAAAGTCCCGCAGGAATGAGGCAGGGAGAGGGGATGAGGGGAGGGGTGAGAAGGGGAGGGGCAACAAGGCCCCTCCTGGGCTGGTGTCAGCATTTTCCTCAAGTTCAAGTACATCCAGTGATGAACTCATCCTGCCTGCACCCAGGGAGGACGCGGCCCTTGGCTGGAACCCCAGGTGGCCCATGGCACCTGGCAGCCCAGTATCTGCTCTCCAGTCTCCAGCCCACCCTAGGCCTACTTCATAGCAGTGTTTCTTCCCTTAGATGCCCCACTCATTGGGTAGAAAATCAGAGCATTTAATATTGAGAAACAGGGTGAGAAAGAAAGAACAAGAACATCTGATGCTACGGCCGAGAAGAGATGGCATTTTCCCCTCCCAGTGATGACTCCACAAACTTGGTTACTCGGGGGAGTGGGAAAGGCCTGCCCCCAAAATGCAGGAGGTACAAAGATAAGCCTGTCATTAGTATGATTATTTTGCTGTCTGTTCATCAAAATGTGCCTGTTTAGCAGACGTTATTTTATTCTCTTTTTTCTTCCCCTCTGGGAGAGCTTGGGGCTGATTGCATGGGCTGGCCTGGCCAGCAGGGACCCACCCCAGCGAAGGGCAGTAGACCCAAAGCCTGGGGTCTCCAGCAGCATGGGACCCACTTCCCCACAATGTCCCTTGGTGGGCACATGGCTCTCCAGACCCTTGTTATCCTCCAAGGCAGAGGTCCTGGCGTCCCACACTCACCCCCATGGGCTTCTTAGAGCTTGAGCCCATCAAAAAGAACGAATTGGGAAAAAAACAAAGGGTCCATTGGGATTGCCGGCCATTCCCTTTGCAGGTGAAGGGCAGAGAGCAGCAAAGAACTGAGGATGCTCAGATTAAACAGAATAGGAAACCTGAGACCCACCAGCCCTCCTAGGCCTAAAATTGAGATGGAGGATTTAAATGTGTATTCAAATAACACCACTCACACCTGGCCAAGGCAGAGCTTCTAGGCCAGCACTGGTCCCTCCTCTCCAAGCCCACCCCCTTGGTCCCAGCCACCCGCCAGCGAGGGGCAGCCCCTACTGTTCAGCCGAGACCTCACCCTTGTTGGCCTTCTGTAAATGTGCGAATCAGCCCCTCACACGCCCAGCGGCTGGAAGACGGCCACTCGGCGGGGGCAGAGACTCAGCTCAGCCTGGGCTCCTTACTTTGACAAACTCCTTGAAGTCGGGGGCCTCATCTGTCTTCTGCTGGATCAAGGCAGCCCCGTTGAGCTGGCAGCTGCAGAAGCGGATGTAGGGTTGCATGTGTGGCAGCTGGGCAGTCAGGATGTCCCCGATCATCTTCACAGGCATCTTCTCCCCAGACATCTTCTTGCGAACTCTCAGCGCTCTGCACAGAAACACGAGAAGTGAGCGCCCTCTTCACGCTCTCTGACGCGTACACAGCACACTTCCAGGTGGTACAGAAACGGGATGTGTGTGAGGGGCACAAACCCAGGGCCACTAAAGCATCTATGTGGCAGACAAGGAACAGAAAAAGCAATGAGTCTAGTGCTACAAAGAGGTATCACTGGGGCATTTTTCTTTGACATGAAGTCTGTTTGCTGGCTCTTAGGAAGAAAAACTTAAAATAAAAAAACACAACTTTGCTGAACAAGTCAGCATAAAAGACATTTTTTTCTTGTGGAAATATATGGAATCCTGTTTTTGAATAACTCAGACAGGATCCCTGGGTGGATGTCTCACTTTATGGATGATCTGTCCAGGCTGGTATGGCCCCAACACTGAACCTGTTTCCGGGGCCAGTGCTACCCAAGGGAAGCTGCTGTTGCCAGGGGCCATGGAGGCTCAATTTCAGCCCAAACAAAACATAATCAAGATGGTAAATCAACTGCCACAGAAAAATAATCCCATTATGTTCACGAAAGCCAGGTATAAATGATTGTCTGAACAATCTGTGCCATTCTCTGGTTCACTGCTTCATCACTGTGGCTAATTTGAAGTTGACTGGATTAAGAGGAGTTCTGAAGAGACAAGCCTATTCATATGATAATGGGTCATAGACTCAAACAATTTATATCCTGGAAGCTGAGAAGGGACTAGAGGGACTGGAAAGTGTTTGTTCAGGAGTCCAGCTGCATCTGAGTGTTCAAGACCATAACAATCAGGACTGTGCATCCCACCCTTCTAACTCGTATGTCAACTCCTAACCCAGCATCTATAAGAAGGGCGTGGCACCGAGCTATTACACAGCAAGGATAGCAATGTACTATAAGGGCAGGACCTCGACATATGAGGCCATGGGTGTGTTCTGCCTACCCTAGTGATTATGGATGATGGATGGATGGATGGATGGATGGATGGATGGATGGATGGATGGAAGGAACAGAATGGTATGATATGGGATTTTTACATAAGGCTGGGAGGATGTTACTATGAATTCCTCTGGTTGCTTTCAAGGTCATGGGTAGGGCTATATCATTCTAAGAAGGCTCTGCAATCTTTGTATTAAAAACTTCAGATCACTTTATTTTCCTTCTCCTACATTTTTGGTTAAAGAAAAAAAAAATCTTTGGACTGGGAAACAAGCCAAGGAGAAAAACTTTAGGGACAGTGCATTATGTGGTCCAAACAATGAGCCACTCCCCCTCAAGCAGGTGCCCTTGTGGGGAGAGGTGCTGGTCAGCGCTGGCTGCCTGGGGTGTGAGGAGTGGCAGGTTGGTACCCTCAGGATGGCCAGGTGGCCACTGCTCATTGGGGGGTTGGTGTGGAATATCTCCCAGTGTGTAGAAATTTGCTCAAGGGTTACGTCACTACCAATTCTGGGGGATGAGAGTGCTGAATAACGATGTTACAAACTTGCTATGGATGGAAATGGGAAGAAATTCCATCATTCCATGATTTTCCAATGAGGAGCAACACAGTCTTTCTGCAAGGGAATAAGAGTACGTTCACCTGCTCCCCTCCTTTTATTTATTGTTGTTAATGATGGGGAGAGAAGAAAAAGGGAAAAGAAAAAAGATCACACGCAGATCATCACTGTCTTGAGGAAGTTAAGCCAGTTCCTGGGTTCTGGAGGCCCACGCTTGGAGACCTGAGTTGTTCAACTGCGAGACAGACCTAAAATCAGGCCCCTGCTATGGACCAGGCACCTGTTAGGTTGAACTGTGAGTCAACTTCCGGGATGTTCTACCGCACAGGCAAGGCTTTTGAGGACTGAGTTTGAGTGGGTTGAAACAGGGCACATCACCAGGCTCAGGGATCACATGAATCCATTGCTGCAGCCTCAGCCCCGCCCTTTGGTGAGCTGATTTGTAATCTCATATAGAGGTCTATGGATTCAAGGTCTTGAACTGTGACAGTAATCAATCAGCTAATGAACACATAAGAGAGCCTGACATTTGCTGAACGAATGAGTAGCCCTCTGAAGTTCGCAGATCAAGGGGATGGTCAAGAGAGCTGGCCTTTATGAATGTGTCCTATGTGTCAAACAATTTTTTTTAACCTATATGACTTATTATCCCTATTGACAGTTGGGGAAACCGAGGCATGCAGAAATCGAGTGACTTGACCAGAGTCACACAGCTCATGGGTGGCAGGAAGCCCTGGTCTCCAGAGCCCACAGTCTGCAAGAACCGCATGTGAGAACAAGCACCGTGCCCAGCCCCGCCTCCTCTCAAGCTGCTCGGGGCTCCTGGCCTGTCCTCGCTCCAGAAGCAGCTCCTGCCATCCCACCAAGGGGGGCTTCCACAGCCCCTCTGCTTTTCCCTTCCCTTCTGTCCTTCCTCTTCATTTCCTCAAGCCTCTCCCTCCTTTCCTCTCACCCTGCCCACTCCCACCCAAAGCCCCTTCTTTCCTTCTCCCCACCCTGTCTTTACCCCACAAGTTATCTTTTTCACTTTTTATTTTTCTTTGTTTTTCTGCCTAAAATAAAATCATGGCTATTCTTCTTAAGTTAAAAAGAAAACTGAATACTTAATATTTAAGAAAAACTTATTTTGTGGGGGAGAAGCTCTTTTATTTATTTATTTTTCAAGCAAGGAGGCAGGAAAGGATCTTGATTAAAAAAACAGCTGCAGTACCTGGTTCTACACACCCTATCTCACTTCTGCGTCCCTACTGCTATCATTTCTAACAGCCACCCCTAGGGGCCTGCACCTAGCTCTTAACTTTAAAATGTTCTAGATTCTTCTCCCCTACTCTGTTCATTGAAGGCAAACTTCTCAGCTCTCTGCTCACAGGTAAGAGAGCCAACCATCCATTTTAACCCCCAACCAGAGGCGGCATTAGTAGGAAGTCTGTGTGCCCCAGGTAGCTCCCTTTTATGTTCATTTCATTTGTTTCTTATTTATCTGTTTGATAAATCCTACGTCCCCCCTCTAAGTACAAGGAGTCGCGGGCCCTTGTATCAGGAGTGAGAGATATGTGGCTGCCCACTGCAGTCTTCCAGGGAGAGCTGCCTTAAGTTCTCTTCATCTTCTTCCATCCTGCCAGGAGTCCTAAATCTTCCCATCACTGGGATTAGTCCTTTGCACAAATAAATTAAGTCTATGCAGCAAAATTGTATAATCTACAATATGGGTGCTCACCATAAAATTCTTTCAATTTTTTCTGGTATGTTTGAAAATGTTCATAATAAGATCTTGAAAAGGAAAAAAAAAAAGAAAAGAAAGGAAGAAAGAAGTCAGGTCCCCGGAAAGCTCCTGCTAAATACAAGTATTTTATCTGGAAAATGAAAAGATCAGCCCAACTAACCAATCAGGTCATCAGAGGAAGGCGCAGAGTGTACCTGTGATGGGAGAGGGGGTGTCTGTGCCCGCTGGTGCCATGATTGACAGGGCACCAGCTGTACACCTGATCTCCTTGCTCCCTGGGATAACCCTGCATGCTAGACAGGGCAGGCGCCCTGACTGCAATTTTACAAGCTCTAAAACAAAGGGGTGGGGAGTTATCTGCCTGAGGTAACTTCCCAAAACGAGTTAGAAGGCGCTGGAGCCCAGATGAAAACTTGAGACGTCTGCCTCCTGGTCTCACCTTCTTTCCATCGAGGGCAGGACAGGGTGGAACCCCTAGTGGGACCCTGGGCGTTGTCCACAGAGCAGCCCGGGGCACCCTGATCACCTTCTGTGTGACTTTGGACAAGTCACTCAACCTCTCTGAGCCTCGTTTCCGCGGTTGCAAGAGCGTTCTCAATTCCTACCTCCGGGGCTGTGGAGCCCATCAGCGCTAATGGGAGGAAGGAGCATGCAGGTCTGGCCCTGACAGAGCTCAAGAAAGGGGCTTCTGCTTTCCTGACAGGAGCAGGACGGAGGGTTAAAAGTACAGAGACAACAGAAAGGCATGGGGAGCGCCGATGCTGGGAGGGTTGGGGAGGGGTGTCACTCGGGAACATCAGACACATTTCCCGCCTCCCCACCCCCATGCAGCCACCCAAGGAAAGAGGTGTTAACTTGTAGGTATATGTTCAACAGAAAACCTTTTCATCTATTTCAAAACAACCTGTCTCCAACACTTTAGGTTTAGTACTTGTAGGTTCAGGGGTTAACTAGCCCACCTGCCCCAAGTGACAAGGCAGCCTCTCTCCAAGGCAAGAGTGGGTGCTCAGCCCACCCTGGGGCCCAAGCCCAGCACTTACGAGGGACCAGGCAATCACTGTCTAAATGTTCCCTAAGGAGAACCGTACGTGGTAGATACTATTATCACCCCCATTTTACAGATGAGGACACTGAGGCCCAGGGAGCATAGGCGACTTGCTCAAAGCAGGTACGCAACAGCAGGGTGTGAGCCCAAGAGTCTGACCCAGACCTACGCTAGAAACCTCTACAATATGCTTCTCAAGGGGGGTAATGGAAATACTTTCTCCAAGCCACCCCCATGCCGTCGTCTTTGATTAACGTCTTCTAGAACATAGAGACAGAAGACGTTATAGTTTTTCTTCACATCCACCTCTCTGTCCATCCCTTCATCGACTCCCAAACACACTCAGGAAAGTGGGGACCTGAAATCACTTTATAAAATCCCAGGGACCATATTCAGGGAATAGCTGCTTCCCAATTATATGAACCTAGAGAGCTGGAATGGACACCAGTTCCCAGGGCCTGTGCTTCATCCTGGCCCCCAGGATCACCACAGACTTCATCTGTTTTCTAGCAAATGATGTTATACCGAGGGCCTGGTGGACACAGATTTGGAAGTTTTTTTAAGAACTGGAAAGGACTTTTGTGATGATGTAATCCAATCCCTTCCTTTTACCGGTGGGGAAACTGAGGAAGGGCAGCAAGTTGGGCTCCAAGCCCAGGTCTCCAGACTCCTGGCCCAGTGTTTCTCCCTGGCCCTGCAGCTGCCTCTGAGAATTAAAACAGGAATAAATAAAATAGCAACTGCTCCAGGCCAGCTCCTCAGAGGCCTATCCTGAGAACTGCCGCTGACCGTGGCCATGCGCGGTCCCACCGTTTCCCATCTTCAGGAGCCAAGAAAGTCTCAAGAGACCGACATTCCCCCAATGGAACCAGGGTCTGAGGCATGGGGGAGCTGACCCCCACCTGGATGGAGCTGGCCAGCAATTAGGAGCCAGAATCGGCCCAGCTCTGTTCATTCTAGAACCACGGTAAAAGCAGGAACCGGGATGCCTGAGCAATCCATTCTCCCCAGTGAAAAATTGGGGGTGTGTTTCCAGAAAGCACCAGGGCAAGAAAGAGCGATGGTTCTTGTGAGTGGAAATGAGGAAGAGAGGCAGAAAGAAACACAGGGTGGCATGCACGGAGGGGACACACGGACGAAGCCGCGTAGCAGGGCCGGTGCGCGAGGGCTAAGGCAGGCTGGGGTAGAGGAGAGGCTTACTTCAGCAGTTTGATATTACACATAATCAGGTCCTTCCAGTTAACAAAAATCATAGCACCCTCTTTCTCTGTCAGCAGCTCAGACTCCATCAGGGGTTTCTGAAAGATCTACAGATGCAGAAAACGAAGCAGTACAGAAAGCAAACAGTTAGCTTAAAACTCAAACGCACGCACACACCGGTCTGTTCAGAGCCACGGGAAGGACCGAGGCGTCTGCAGCTTTGGCTGGGAGGCCCAGAAGCTGCAGAGTTTCTGAAGCAGGTGGCCCTCCCTCTGCCGGGGGCTATGGGGGGTGGTGGGTTCCCATCAGGTCCACACTGTTTTACAAGGAGGCCCACTAAACCCTGGAGGACAGGCCTTAACTCCGCCAGGACTCAGCCAGGGGTCTGGACAAAGGCACTCAAGCCCTCACCTGCCACGGTGAGGAATTGGGCACAGGGGGGAAGTGGTGGGCCGAGAGATGCACGGGGTGGGGGGCACTCCCGCATTCCTGCTCCCAGCATCGGCTGCACAGACAAGCCTCAGGAAGCCCAGGGGAGCAGCCCTGGCAGCCGGGCCCCCAACCAGCAGCCTGGGGACAGGATGGACTCCTCTGCTCTGCCCGCAGCCTGGGCTGGGCCTGGGACGGAGCCAGCGAGTGAAGGCCTGGTACCAGGTGGGCGCTGCCCCCCTCAGGGGCTCCAGGAAATTGAGGAGCCTCACCAAGCTCCGCGTGGGTGGGCAACTCACAGTAGACCACAGGTCTTGGCTGAGCCCCACGTGGTGAGCCCCTGCCTAGAAAGAGGTCATAGCTACCATTGCAGGCAGGCCACTCGCCGGAAGGTACCTTAGGGACCGGGCAGGCTGAGGCTGATCCCTGGGAGCGCAGAGTACTTCATGAGTCTTTAAGCCGATGTTGAACCTGGCATATACCAGGCCACTGCCCAACGTACCGTATCTAAGAGGGTGACATTCACAGCCTAGACATCCAAGGCTGTATATTTAGTGACAGTCACATGTCTTGAGAAAGGGACACCTCTTCATACCGATGCTCCCTAAGCATTAATGATGGCCTTGGGGGCCATCAACTCATCCTGCATCCTGTGCTCATCAACACTGGGTAACCGAGCAATGCCTTTCTGGGTCGTTAAGACTATCAGAGGAGATGGTTTCACAATAGTTCGGGTACGGGGGTTCCCAAACGATCACGGTACTTTTCAGACTGTAGGGGGACCCCGACGTCCAGCTCTGCAAACCCCCGTCTCCTAATATGGCAACCTCCCATGCGTATGGACCAAAGGCTTCCTGAAAAGCAGAACTTCCCAACTCTGCACCTCCCCATCCTCTGGACTAGGCAGACAAGGCCCTTCAACAGCTCCCCGGGAGGAGAGCCAAAATGAGACATCGTCCAGGACGGGGGAGGGAGGGTATGCACGGGGTGCCGGGAGGAAACATCTTCGTTCTCTGCAACAGATTTTTCTGGTGGGTGATGTGTAGCATGAGGAATAACCAAGACATCAGCAGGTGACTGCCATCCTTCAGATGTCACCGCTGGGGGCCAGGGACACGATGCTCTACAGCGTCGATTAGCTGGTGGCTGAGCTGCAAGTGTTCTGAGCCGAGCGCAGACTCCCACCTCGCAGCCCGTGTGTCCCCTCTCATGCACTCCTCACAGGCTCGTCTATCCCTGGCTTGAAGGGTCTCTGCCCCTCTGTGGGTGGGATTCACAGATGAGAATTGTGAGTCCGTGGCCACGGATGAGAATTAAGCCTCTTCTCTTGGGTAAGACTCTCCTCTGTGATGTACCGTCCTGATGCTCCCGTACCTCGGAAAGCTTCTCACACTGGGAATCAGGACCCAGCCCTCCTTGACAGAGTCGCTGCCTTCCCCACCCTCTGCCAGTGCCCCCCACCCTGCCCCAGCATCCCCAGCTGCCCTTACCTCCGTGACCAGCTGCAGGTCATTCACATAGTTCTCCTCCGTGACGATGAGCTCGTGGATGTATCCCTGTCGCTTTCTCTCAGTTGGGGTCAACATATCCAAGAGGTGTAAGTCTGAACACCCTGCAAAACACAACCATGGGGACAATTTAGTCCAGGTCTGGGGAAGCCTGTACAGCTTCATGGGGAAGATCCCCAGGGTCCTCGTGGCCTCGTGGTCTCACTCCAGCTAGACAGTGTTGTCCCCTAAAAAGATATGTTCAAGTCCTATCCCTGGTAACTCTGAAGGGGACTTGTTTGGAAATAGGGTCTCTGCAGATGCAATCTAATTAAGACGAAGTCATATTCAATTAGGGCGGGCCCTAGTCCAATATGACTGGCATGCTTATAAGAAGACGACACAGAGACAGACAGAAGGAACGCCACATGACGACGGAGGCAGAGCCTACAGTGACGTGTCTACAAGCCAAGGAATGCCAGGGATTGCTGGCAGCAACAGAAGCTAAGGGAAAGGCATGCAATAAATTCTCCCCTGAAGCCCGCAAAGAAACATGGCCCGGCCCAAATCTTGATTTTGGACGTCTCACTTCCAGAACTATGAGAAAATAAATTTCTGTTGTTTTAAGCACACCCAGTTTGCGGTCATTTGTTACAGCAGCCTCAGGAAACTATTACAGGCCTCACACTCCTGCTTCAGCAAAACCACTAAAAGAGTGTCAAGAGAGAAGACTTAGTGGGCACTTCCCTGGCAGTCCAGTGGTTAAGACTCTGTGCTCCCAATGCAGGGGGCACGGGTTCGATCCCTGGTCGGGGAACAAAGATCCCACATGCCACATGGGGCGGCCTAAAAACAAACCAAAACAAACAAACAAACAAAATAAACAGAGTAGACTTAGTAACAACTGGCTGACATTTCCTGAGGGCTCTCACCATGCCAGGTGCTCTACCAGGAGCTGAACACTGACAGTTGTGTTTAATGCTCACATAGACACTAAAATCATCCCTATTGTACAGACAGGGAAACTGAGGGTCAGAGCGGTTGCCTCACCCGAGCTCTCTCAGCTGGGTGGTGGAGAAGCTGAGATGGGAACCTGACACTTTGACCCCAGGGACTGGACTCTACCCCAGATCACTGCTGTTGGATCCGAGCTACAGGAGGGCACATGGTTATCCTGAGGTTGGTTTTTGGAGGATGAAATGGCGGTGCTGAGGCTCCTGATGGGCACGGGGATAGGGCAGAGGTGGGGCACATCCAGACGCTGCTGGGCAAACTCTCCTGGACCAGGCTGCTGTCCTGCACTCACGGGAGCTGAGCAGTGAACCTACAGGCGGACAGGAAATTCCTCCAGGTGCAGACGGCCGGACACAGCTTTGGCTGCAGGTCCACGAGGAGTAGGCTCTGCTGACGTGGGGTGGGGCATGCACAGCAGGTGGCGCCCGCCCTGGCCTCTGCTCACTTAGCTGGTTACTTGGGGTTGGTCTGCTTTGGATGCTCTCGGGTTTCGGGCAGAGGCTGTCCCCTGCCGCAGGCACACTGGAATGAGGGGCGGGGAAGCTCGCGGCTCTAGGGAGTACCCCTCCTGCAGGTCTGGACCTACCTCTTCCAGGTCAGTGGTCCCCTCACCCCTGTCCTTTTTATCAGGGGTTCTTTGTTTAATCACCAAAACCGGATTGGTAAAGAAGACTGGGAGGTGTCTTGGAGGTAGGTGGGGGTAAGGCGCTGAGTCCCATTCACTTGCTTTTTGCATCCCTTCTTCTCCCCACAAGGGGGTGCCGTGGAGCACAGTGCGGAACCCCCTGCTGGACACCAGTGGTTCTCAAAGTCGGGTCCCTAGACGGGCAGCATCAGCAGCACCTGGGAGCTTATTAGAAATGCAGATGCTCAGGCCCCTGCTGACTAGACTGTGGAGCCAGGGCCTGGAATCTGATTTAACAAGCTATCCATGGGGCTTCCCTGGTGGCGCAGTGGTTGAGAATCTGCCTGCCAATGCAGGGGAAACGGGTTCGAGCCCTGGTCTGGGAAGATCCCACATGCCGCAGAGCAACTGGGCCCGTGAGCCACAACTACTGAGCCTGTGCATCTGGAGCCTGTGCTCCGCAACAAGAGAGGCCGCGATAGTGAGAGGCCCGTGCACCGCGATGAAGAGTGGCCCCTGCTTGCCACAACTAGAAAAAGCCCTCGCACAGAAACAAAGACCCAACACAGCAAAAATAAATAAATAAATTTTTTAAAAAAAGAAAAGAAACAAGCTATCCAGGTAACTTTTTAGGTACACTCAAATCTGAGAAGACTGCTCTGAACTATCAGGGGTTCCTCAGAGTTTCCATCTTCCCCCGAGGGAGCTTCTAGGCTCGTGGCTGATCTAGTCTATATGCTGGAAGCTTCTGCAAATAGAACAATCCCTCTGGGGCGAATGATATCATAGACTTCTTGGTAAATGCTTCACTGGGCCCAAGATTAACTCTGAGCTGGCGCTTCCAGCCTTCAGTGTTGTCCCCTCCCCTGGCCAAATGCCCTCTCTAGAATGCTGGAGCTTCTCTTCCTGGGACAGGAAAATCCCAGGATGGGCAGATGGATGCCAGGAAAGCATCAAGGCTTTCATGTTAACACCCTCCATGGCCTTCCATCCGAGACCTCATTCAAAGCCATGGCAGTGCGGCTAAACTACAATTCCACAGGGCCACGGGCTGAGTATGAGCCTTTGCGTAGGCCTGCAGATGCTTCTGGAACTCGGGCACTCTGCTCAGCCACCAGCTTGGCCTAGCTGTCCTTCCTGCCTCGGTGCGTTGACTGTGTTTTATTAAAACAATTGCATCAACAATGAATTCTCAGGAAGGAAGCAAGTCATGACTGCTCACCTGGGGGGCTCAGCCAACCTCTGCCAAGGTGATGCATGAGCCCCGGCTTACCAGAAGCTGAGTGATGTCACCAATTTCTTTAGCTTCCTTTAGGAAAGCCACCCAGGAAACACTCTTGAATTTGGGAGGAAAATATCTCATTCCTGCCTTATTCTTACCAAACCTTCCTGTTAGTGAGTCCAAGGGCCCAGGGGTAAGGCCATTTCTTGTTAAAGGGTAGAATACAGCCCTTGCATTACAGACTTGTATGAACTCAGGGAAGCAGAGTCTCCCCTGCAATTTTCAGGACATTCCTTTCTTCAGGGATATCAGAGTACTGGTACAGACCAGCAGCTCTAAAACTCAGTTCCCACACACTGTGCAGTGACGTTTGCAGGGACACAAACATTGGGCTAGTAGTGGACACTGGTTGGAACAGTCTTCCAAACGTCCCCGTAGGTCACAATTCCTCTTACAGAATCTGGTGGATGCTATGAACTCTTACCTCAGAAAATATATGTATACAATGCACACAATATACACATTTTGCACACAATTTTAAAGGATTTGCAGACCCTCTTGAAGCTTGCTCATGGATCTCATTCCTTCATTCCTTTGACAAATATTTACTGATATCCTACTGTGCTGGGTGCTGGGAATTCAGGATGGAAGAGGAGAAATGCCTGACCCCCAGAGCATAGCGCTAAGAACCCTGGGGTCCTCAGCTGGGGGTGGTGCTGCCCCCCCAACAGTACTGAAGGCAGTACTGCCCCCCCCCCAGGCTGAAGACGGTACTGCCCCTCCCCCGGGCTGAAGAAGGTACTGCCCCTCACCCAGGCTGAAGACGGTACTGCCCCACCTACAGGCTGAAGACGGTACTGCCCCCCCTACAGGCTGAAGACGGTACTGCCCCTTCCCCAGGCTGAAGACGGTACTCCCCTCCCCCAGGCTGAAGACGGTACTGCCCCTCACCCAGGCTGAAGATGGTACTGCCCCACCTACAGGCTGAAGACGGTACTGCCCCCCCTACAGGCTGAAGA